GGTTGTGGTTTGTGGTTTTTGCCTTTAAAAGTCACCTGTAAGCTGAGCTCGGGGCTGCTGCTCTCTCTCTCTCTCTCTGAGTGAGGCAGGGGCCCGTCTGCGCAAACAATTAAATCCTCTTGCTTGTTGCATCTCCTGGTCTGAGGACTGAGTTATTGGGGTGCGGCCTCCCGTGGACATTGGGTACCCCAGCCTGGGGACCTACATGCCTGTTGTGCTCAAAGGACAAGAAAGGAATTCCTGGAGTGGTGAGAGTTCAGTTTTGTGGATGATGGGGACTGGAGTGAGCCCTGCTTAGAAGGAGATGGGATGGCTTTGGGAGATTAGCAGAGATGTGACTGGGTAAGTAAAACGGCTATGGGAAGAAGCGGGGAGGAGGGCAGTACAATGACAGAGGCAAGAGATGTTGGTACACAGGCTGAGACCGTGGCAATGAATACATTTAGTATGTCTAGAAGCTCAAGTATAAGGTGTCCCACCAGAGCAGCTGCACTTTGGCAAGCCCTTGTGGCCTGTGGCAGGCACATTCTCTCCATGGAACACTGGTAACCTGCTACATACAGACTATTGGATATTATCAGAGGAAAGGTAGAGTGGCAGCAGAAAGTGATCATTGCAAGCATTGGTGCCAAGGGAACTCACAAACTTTCATTTCTAGTTCTTTAAAACTCATTCTGCAGCTGGGTGTGGTGGCACACGCCTTTAATCCCAGCACTCGGGAGGCAGAGCCAGGCAGATCTCTGTGAGTTCAAGGCTAGCCTGGTCTACATAGCAAGTTCCCGGCCAGCTGGGGCTACAGGGAGACCCTGTCTCAAAAAGACCAATCCCCCACCATTCTCCAAAAGATTAAACATCTGGTTTGTGTAGATCTGGACAAAGACCTTGTAAAAATGCTTTACATTTTCTGCTCTGGACTTGGGCTCCCATGTTCCAAAAACACACTGCTCTCACCACTCTGTGAATTCTGTGGCAGTGGGTGGTATCCTAATCTTTGTCACTCTAGCTTCTAGCTTAGAGTAGGCCCCAGTCTTAACTTATGGTTATATCTTATGACCTTGATTTGAGATTAGTAGATGTAGCAAAGAAATTCATTCAGTGGGGTGGGAGGGGAAGTTCCTATGGGATATTGCCACACCGTCAGGAGCAGCCTGCACTCAGCACTAGAAGTCTTCCTAAAACCCATATCCTGCAGCTGTTCTTACATTCGTGAGATCCCTTGTCTCTTACAGAGGCTACCATTTGTTAACGTGGCAGCAGAATGGCCTGGGCAAGGACTTGGTGCTGCCTGTGGGATGGCATATATTGGCAAATACTTTGACCGGGCCAGGTGAGACACTTATCAGAGTCCATTTTACTACCCTTCCCCTGAACTTTGTCACATTACAGTTTGAGAAAATGATGATAGTTTTGAAAGTTCTTGGGGCAAAGAACTTTGAAGCAGTAAATAAATCACATTGGTAGAACTGTTCTAGCATCTCTAGTTGGGTTCTAAGTGGTAGCTGCAGTATTAGAACACTAGTAGTTTTTTTTTTTTTTTTTTTTTTGGTCTGTTTTGAGACAGGATCTCACTGTAGCCCCAACTGGCCTGGAACTCACTATGTAGACCAGGCTGACCTCGAACTCAGAGATCTGCCTACCTCTGCCTCCAGAGTGCTGGGATTAAAGGCGTGTACCATGATGCCCAGCTAACACTAGCATTTTCTGACACAGTTTCCTCTTTTCTATCCTGTTGAGCTTCACTGTGGAAGGAAGCACATGCACTTTGCATTGGGAACCCCTAAATGTTAAGAACAGAGGTCCTTTTTCTGGGTTGGTTCCCAGTCTCTTTCTTGGGCCTGTGCTTATCTGCTGCTTGTGTTGAGCAGTGCCTGGTTTAGACTGAAGAGTTCTGTGCTCTCTGCTGCATGTGGTGAGCTGAGTTCAGAGCCCCTCTGGTTTAGTTTCTTCAGGATGGGGTACTTCTCTTTCCTGGAATTAAGAAGTCCACTTAGCACCTTGAAGTGGAGAAGAGCCCTAAGACGCCAGGCCTTGTTCCAGCTCATAGCAATCCCTTCCGAAGCACTTAATTGTGTTTCCCCACTCCTCTCACAGCCTTCCTACTCCATTTCCCATAGCACTGCTGAAACTTTCCACCCATGATTGCCTCTCTTAGTTATTAGTGAGTCTAATAACTTTTCTTAAACCTACAATTTTTTTGTCTTTTTGAAGCAGGGTCTCCCTGTAGCCCCAGCTGTCCTGGAACTCAGTATGTAGACCAGGCTGGCCTTGAACTCACAGAGATCCGCCTGCCTCTGCTGCCCGAGTACTGGGACTACAGGCGTGCGCCACCATGCCCGGCTAAACGTACAATATTTTAGTGAGGTCTGGGGTGTATTTTATTGGTATAAATGGTTTGGGTCTCTGTTTATAGTAGAGTGTAGCTCCCTAAATAGGGTACTTCCATTGCTAGGATTATTGTAAATAAATTATAAGACCTGAAATAAAAGGTGGTAGTGCTTAAAAATGGTACTTCCTGAAAAAAGATGTATGTGTACCTTGTTTAGGTGTCTCAGGGACCTACCGCTTGCTAATTCCCTTCTTGCTTGAGTGACCCAGGTAATCCCCAGCAAGATCCTAACCAGTTCTTGATTCTTCCAGCTACAGGGTTTTCTATCACTTGGGAAAAGGCGAATCTTCAGATGGCTCTGTCTAGAAGGCATTGGCCTTTGCTTCCTACTACAATCTGGACAATCTCCTGTTGATCTTTGATGTGAACCACCACTCTGGGTACAGTGGCTCCATGTCCCTTAAACACTGCATTCAGGTCTATCTGAAGCATTGTGAAGCTTTTGGGTAATTGTACCTTTCTTTCTGTACCTTATTTCTATCCCTCCTCCCATTCTTCTTTGTAACCGGGTCTACTTATTGGCAGTTGTAATACTTACGTGGTGGATGGCCATGATGTGGAAGCCGTGAGCTGGGTGTTCTCAGTGGCAGCTCAAGTAAGAGCCAAGCCCACTTACTGTGATAGCCAAGACCTTCAAGGCCCGAGGCATGCCAAGCAAGTGTTTCCTTCCTGTGAGTATTCAAAACATTTGTCTGAAAAACAAATAGGCAGAGGTTTTAACTAGGCAGATGATCTCCTTAGTGAACACTGTTAATGCCTGTAACACATGCTAGAGTCTCTTGACCTCACTAGATATCATCTGGCCTAGGGTAGGAAGGGAAGACCAATCTAGCAAGTAAACAATGATCTCCTACCTGTGTATGGGAGTAGCTAGAACAGTTCATCTGAGAGGTGACAGGGAAGGATCTGCATGGTTAGCAGTCAAAGTAAGCTACATGTAGGGGCAAGCGTATGAATACATACACCCTTGCTTATTTCCAGACCATTTGGAATAATGCATAGAGAACAGCAACTGGGGAGATTTATTTTATTTTTTGAATGAAATCACTTTATTCTAAGTAACTCACAAATAAAATATCGCACAGCTAGATTAAGGAAGCCAGTCAAACACTTATCCAGTCCCAAACTCTATGCATCTCAGTGAAACTCTATACAGTTAGAATGGCCATTCTGAAGCCATGGAGCTTCAGGGTCTCCCTGTGGCCATAGCTGGCCTGGAACTTGCTGGGTAGACCAGTCTGGCCTTGATCTCATCAGAGATCTGCCTGCCTCTACCTCCTGAGTGCTAGGGTTAAAGGTATGTGTGATCACGCACCAGGCTTTTCATTTAGTTTTATACTTTCACTATAAATTACATTTTATTCACTTTTCTACCACACAAAAAAGAAAAAAATTACAACAGAATTGAAACTCCAGTATGTATCAAGTTGCTGAAAACTGACCAGCATGCCTCCCCACATACCCACTCACGAAGAGTGTATCTCATGCATTCCCTCCTTACTGTCTCTACTGCCTTCACTACCACTGTGTCCCCATCATCTTTGCTGAATTACAGCAGCTTCGCGGAGACTCGGTCCATTTCCTGCTCCCTTTACCTCCAAGCTACTGCCACGTGATGTTTATAATACATCTGATCACTGACTCTCCCTCCAAACCTTTCAAGGTTTCCCACCTTGCTTCAGGTAAAAACTCAGTGCACGGGAGTCCCACTATCCACAATCCACCTGTCTTTCCAGCCTTGTCTTCTTCATCCTCCCCTTCCATTCACCAGCATGTGTATCAGTGGCTCCCTCAAAAGCCACAAGACCTTTCTTAGGCTGCTCTTTCTGCCATCCCAGGAACTCAATGTCGGGTTCCTACTGCTATGAGTCCTATTCTGACATCTTTACCCTTAGAAGCTCTTTCAGATGGCTTGGTAGGCACTCATTAAACGTTTGGAATGAATGGCCTTTGTTTTGTTGCAGATGTCCAGGATGCAGAAAGTTGGTATGGAAGGCCAATGCCAAAAGAAAGAGCAGATGCAAGCATCAAATTAATTGAGAGCCAGATACAGACCAGCAAGAGTCTTACACCATCACCTCTTACTGAGGACTCACCTCACATCGGCATCATGACTGTAAATGTGATGTCTCACCCTGTTTACGGCAAAATGTGGAAGACTGACTAAAGTCATGTACATCAGTGTGTTTTGTTTTCTCTTAATACACAGGATTCTTCATTTATCCCGATCGCTATGAGTAAACCTATTAGTAGACGGCATGACATTATGGCATTGAATTGATGATTATAAACAGTATTAGCTCTGATTTTTGTTCTTTTGGGGGGGTGGATGTGTTGGTTGGTATTTGAAGGGTTTTGTTTTTGTTTACTTTTGGTTTTTAAAATATTTTATTTATTATTTTCATTTTTGTGTATGAATTTTGCCTGCATGTATGTAAGTGTATCTGTGTCATGCAATGGCCAGGGAGGTCTGAAGAAGGTGTCAAATACTCTGGAACTGTAGTTATGAATGGTTGTTAACTGCCAAGTGGGTGCTGGGAACCAAACCCAGGTCCTCTGCAAGAGGAGCTAGTGCTCTTAACCATTGAGTCATCTCTTCAGTCCTACTTTGTTTGGTTGGTTTTTGAGACAGGGTTTCCCTGCTATACCTTGCTATGTAGACCAGGCTGTCCTTGATCTCACAGAGATCTGCTTGCTTCAGCCTCTGAAGTTCTGGGGTTAAAGGCATGTACCAACACACTTGACTTTATATCTTGTCTTTTTAAAAATGTTATGAGTATTTTGCCTGTGTATATGTCTGTGCACCACATATGTGTGCTTGTGGAGGTCAGAAGATGGTGTTGGATCCTCTGGAACTGGAGTTTTGGATAGTTGTTAGACGCCATGTGGGTGCTGGGAACGAAACATAGGTCCTCTGCAAGATTAACAAGTGTTCTTAAAAGAGTGAGGGACTGAGTCATAAAAGAGTGAGGGATTTCCATATAACTCAATGTTGTATTACTAGGTTAAAGGAAGAGGGAAATTGCTGAAGAAAAGCCATTCGTAGATCTTAAATTTGTTTTCTCATTTTTTCAGAGCCACTAGGGCTTGGGGTGCAGCACTGATAGAGTTCTTGCCAAGAATGAATGAGGCCCTGAATTTAATCCCTAGCACTGAAAACCAAAGTCTTAGAAAAAAATGAGACTAGTGATACATTTGTTTAATTCATTTGTTAGTTGTAGATATCTTAACTCTGGGGCCCTTTTCATACCTAAGGGCAAAAGTATTCTTGTTTATATGGTAAAAAGATCACCCAGTCTCTGGAAGTGTTATGCAATGCAATAAAATGAAAGAATAAAAGCCAGTTCCAGTAAGAAGGCAAGCCTGTCATTATTTACAAATGACTTCACTGTATGTCTGGAAAAGTCAAGAGAACCAGAAATGGCCAATGAGACCAGTCAAATAGCATGTACCAAAACAAGGGCTAGGCGTGATGGTGACAACCTTTAATCCCAGCACTCCAGAGCCAGAGTCAGGCAGAGCTCTGTGAGTTCCAAGCCAGCCAGTGGTACATAGTGAGAACCTGTCTTCAAACAAAAATAAAACTGACGACAAGGATGGCATGTTTTATTACATTAGCAACAGTTAGGTATAGTAGCAAGATGATGATCCCTTTGACAGTAGTAAAATATAAGTGTAGGTATACAAGGACTATTTTAAGATACTTGGACAGCTAGAAGTCTAAAAGAAGGCCATATACTTTATATGTGAGAAATGGCTCATGAAATATTTATGCTTAGACCATTTCTGAAAAGAACTCTCACAGACCCATTATTGCTCCTTACTTCTGGGAAACAGAATCAGGTAGCTAAAGGACAGAGGAAGAGGAAGATGGCCTGTTACCCTGTTACAACTTTTGAATTTTATACTATCTCTACACATTGCCTGTTTTAAAATATTTTGAAGAAAATGTTTCTTGCCGGAGTGCTGGTGTACACCTGCAATCCTAGCACCTGGGAGGTGGGAGGTTTCAGGTCTGAGGACCTGAGTTCAATCTCCAGAACCCACATGGTGGAAGGAGAGAACCAACTCCTGCAGGTTGTTCTATGATCGCCACATGTGCTCTGCGGCACACATATGTGCACATACACATGAATGAGTGAATGTAAAAGAAATAAAATGTTTTTTACAATGCTTGAGTAAAGCAAAACAACAGCTTTACTGGTACGTAATTCATATACCATAAAATTCATCCAATTTGCAGTGTACACTTCAGACTGGGAGTCTAGCTTAGTGTTTACCGTATTGAAGCCTAGGATTTAGTCTCCAGCACCAAAAGAAAATAAAGTGTGCACTTCGGTAGTTTTTAGCATTTAAATTGTACAGCCATACCATAATCAAAGTTAGTCTTGCAATGCTTCCTTCGCTCCAAAAGAAATCTCATGGGACTGGAGAGATGGCTCAACGGTTAAGAACACTGCTTGTTCTTGCAGAAGACCTGGGTTCGAATCCCAGCACTCACATGGCAGCTAACAACTGTCCATAACTCCAGTCCTAGGGGATTCAACAGCCTCTTCGGACCTCTGCAGGCATTGCACAACACAGGTGCACTTACCTACAAGCAGGCAATACATGCATACACATAAAATAAAAATAAATAATTTTTTTAAGTTTAAAAAAAAAATCTCATGCCTATTAGTAGTCACTACTCTTTCCTGCTTCCAGCCCCTAGAATCACTCTTCTTTTTGTCTCTATTTTATATCTTTCTGGATTTGCCTGTTCTGGACATTTTGTTATAAATGGGACTGTATAATGTATGACTTTTATGTGTATCTGTCATCTTCCATGTAGCACAGCGTGTTTTGACGTTCATGTTGCAGCATGTACCAGTAAGTCATTTTTATGACTGAATAATAATTCATTTTAAGGGTATCCAACATGTTTTTCCATTCATCCATTTAATAGATAATTGGGTTGTTTCTACCTCATGGCTATTGGGAATAATGCCACTTTGAGCATTTGCGTGGTAGTTTTGAGTAGATGGGTGTTTTAAGTATGTACCTAGGAGTAGAATTGGAAAGTCATATGGTAATTCTGTGTTCAACAGTTTGAGGAACTGCTAAACATTTTGGTTTTTTGTTTGTTTCTTTCTGTTTCTGAGGCAGGGTCTCACACTGTAGCCCAACCTGGAGTGGAACCCAGTCTGGCCTAAAACTTACAGTTATCTTCTTATTTCAGTCTCCTGAGTGCTGACATTCCAGTCATGGACTTTCATGCCTAGCTCAGACCTTACTTTTCAATAGAAAAAGTCAAGATTGCAAGGATTCTTCTCTAATTAATATATTTAATCTAATCCTCCCAGTATCTTAGTCAAAATCTTCTGTTATTACTGCAAGTCTAAAGTTTACAATGAGTTTTTTAAATGAGTCATGCTTTGGTGTTATATTTGTGTTTGTGCATATGCGTTTGTGAGGGTACAATCTCATGTACATGTATGTTTGAAGGCCAGAGGCAGACGTAATGAACTACATAGATCAGAATACATTTTATTCAAAGTAAATGTTTCAAATAAAATGCAGTTTGGTAAATTTTTAGGTAGTAAACCAGTCAGTATAGCAAAGTTATTTAAAGAATGCAATCAGAAGTCAAGTATGGTGGTGCATACCTGTAATTCCAGGACTTGGGAGATAGAAGCAGGAGGTTCAGGAGTGCAAGATGATCCTATGCTTCATAGCAAGTTCTAGGCCAGTGTAGGCATCATGAGACCCTGTCTCAAAAATAAGCAGGAGCTGGAGACATGGCTCAGTGGTTAAGAGCACTGGCCTCTTAACCTCTTGCAGAGAACCAGCGTTCAGTTCCCAGCACCCATATGGCAGCTAACAATGGTCCATAACTACAGTTCCAGGGGATCCAACGCCCTCTTCTGGCCTCTTCGGGAACTGCACATGTGCTGTGTTTACATACATGAGGCAAAACACTCATACACATAAAATAAAAATTAAAAAAGAAGCAGGGTGTGGTGGCACACACCTTTAATCCCAGCACTTGGGAGGCAGAGGCAGGCAGATCTCTGAGTTCAAGGCCACCCTGGTCTACATAGCGAGTTCCAGGCCAGCTGGGGCTATAGGGAGACCCTGTCTCAAAAAGACCAAAA